CAACAATTCAAAACGAAAAGAGACCCAGTGTAACCAGAAGCTGTTGAGGTGCAGCCTTCAGAGAGAATTTCTGAGAACAGTGACAGTGGTGGGGTGGAAAGGGAGGCTTGAAGCTGCCTTCACTTTGGGCAGTGACTGGGAAGCTGACAGAAGACAGGCGGGAGGAGGGGAGAGGCTGGTACCGGGCGCAATGCTGTGGCTTATGTGAATGTGTCGCCTCAAGATTCCTGTGTGCTGCTGGGAGTCAGGGGGCTCTTTGAGAGGTGGGGCTCGCAGGAACGTGGTTTGGTTTTGGAAGGTGCTGCTCCCAGAAGGGTTTAATGTAGTTCTCTCGGGATCCCGATTCGTTCATGCAAAAATGGACTAATGGACTGTTATGTAGAAAGACTGTACTATATGTGTTTGGCTTTTTCTGCAAATGGCTTTGTTATGTGGTAATACAGTCGAAGGGACTTTGACCAGAAGCCAAATGAACAAGACTGCTTGATCTTTGGATTTCAGCCTACAAAATGTGAGTTAACCCCCCCCCCCCAATAAACTGTCCAGCCTTGGATGTTTTATTTTATAGCAACAAAAGCAGACAGCATTTGTGATAGGGCTGGGGGATGGCATCGGGCTGTTGCAGTAGGGAAGAGAAGAGCCTATCTTTCCTATAGGATTAGGATTTTCCTATGGCTTGAGGATTAGATAGAAGTGGATAGGGCCAGCTGAGAAGTGGGAAGGGAAACCACTCAGATTTCAGGGACCACTCACATTTCAGTTACTGAGTAAGGAGGCAAAAGAAACTGACTGGGTGACTAAGACTGTCAGGATGTCTTGGGTCTTCATGGAAAGGAAGGGCCGTCCTTGCATGCCCTGGACCAGCAGGGCTTCAACGGGGTTCCTAAGGGAGGAGAGTGGAAGGAATTGGGGGGGAGGACAAGAAGCACAAGGAAGGGAGCCAAGTCTGTTTGTCTGATCAAGGCCTCTGTTTATTAGAAAATTTTACCCAACTTATATAGGGAGAAGGCAGGAAAGGGGGAAGGTAATTAGCTGCTGCAGGAGACAGGAAGAGTGCTTTCATGTGTTAAATAGGGTACCTGCAAGATACCATAGGGATGTTTTCTCACGGATGCTCTAACAAACGATGTCCTCACAGTCTCTCACCCATGAGTTAGGGTCCTAGATAACTTTCACTAAATAGCTTTAGGTCTCCACTAAATGACCTTTGCTCACTATTTGGCTTTGGCCTAGCAAACACCTTTTGTCTCCACTAGATAGCTTTGACTCACTAATTGACTTCAGTAGATAGCTTAGTCTTCACTAGATAGCTTTGGCTTTGGCTTCCATAGATAGCTTTGGCTCCCAGCACTTGCAGAACACATGGGTCAATAGAAAAAAAAAAAAAAGGAGAATAAGAGAATCCATGACTGTATATCTTTGGTCTTCTGGTGTTGAGGTGTTGAAGGGCCTTCAAATCTTGGACAGATTTGTTCCAGTCCCTAGTAGTGGGGTCAGAGCTTGGGCCAAGCAGTGGCCTCCGGAAGACTCTGCTCTGTAGGTGAATGATAAAGGGGATTCAGACAGTTAGATGACTCCTGTGCTCCCAGAGGCCTTCAGTGGGGCCTCCAGAGAGAGCACTCTCTTCAACTCCATGTCTGTATCAGAGAGCCCAAACAAAGCCTGGTTCTCATCCCCAGGCAGCTCTGGCACAAACTTAGACCTTCCTTAACAAAGCTCTCTAGGAACTAAATCAGAACTCTGTTAGCTCTGGCTTAGGTCAGTGTTGCAGTTATGAGGTTTAGAGAAAACATGATATGCCAGGTGAAGTGGGACCCAAATTCATGTCTCCCACGTTTCCATGACTGTGCAGTGTCTGTTAATTATGGGCATGGACAGAGGGACAAGCACTGGCCATACACCATGTTAAAGGGTCAGTCATGGAAAGAGGGGCTGACAGGAAATAATTCCCTAATGAACGATGAGAGGGTGGGAATGATACAGCGAGGGAAAGAATGGGAGACGAGTGGGAATCATATGGAACCAGCAGGCTCCGTTCTTTCTCATCCACCTTTAAGGCTGCCGAATGGGCCAGGCAGGGAAGCCACCTCCCTTTCCCATTCTGAGAGAGATCAGAGGCTGAGAGGCATGTGGGCAAACCAGTTCAGCTTCTGGTAAGGTCTAGGTCATTCTGGAAATGTCCATTAGTATTGTAGAAGTGTCTATGAATGAACTGGGCTGCTTGGGCAAGCTCTTCTTTCTTTCTGACTGGAGGTCAAAAACAAAACAAAACCACAAAAAAAAAACCCAAACAAAAAAAAAAAAAAACAAAAAACAAAAAAAACAACGGACTAAATAATGTTCAGAAAATCTGGAAGGTCTTCTGGGGACCTCCAGAGGGAGGGGCACTTAGGAGCAAGGACACTTGGGGGCCTCTCATGGCTAAAGCATGGACTCCATGAAGCCACACGCAGGCATTCCATGGCCTCGTCGCACTGTGCAGGGCAGCATCGGGAATAAGACTGCGGCCTTCCGTGCAAGCTGATTCCGAGAAGCCTGTGGATTTCTTGGGTCTTGGACAAGCTCTGCTCAGGGTCTAGTTTACCCCAAGGAGGCAGAGCCTCACGGCAGATGCCACGTTAGACAATCTCAAGCCCAGAGCGAAAGGGAAACCAACTCTTTTTCCTCATCTTGTCTCTCTCTGTTCCAAAAGTTCTCTAAGACTACATAGGAATTTGAACAAATCCGGGGGGGTCGGGAGACTTAGAATTTCTCTGGGACACAGAATTTGGGGTACCCTAATGAGCCCTTGAACGAGCCTTCTGTTAAACAATGTGTTATGGACATGCCATGTCTGGGAGAGCTCTTTCCCTCAGGAGTCACTTCCTGCCCATCCCATCCTCTGGCCATGTGCCATCCGCTGAGTTTCATCCCCCTCCTCACCCTCCAAATTCACACGATGAGGCCATAACCCCATTACCTCAGACCATGACTGCTCAAAAGCATGGAGGTCGGCCTTTGAATGAGTAATAAAGGCAGCGTGAGGTAAGGTGGTCCGCTAACCCATCCTCACTGACATCTCTCTAAACAGAGGCTATCAGAACACAGACAGGCACAGGGATGATGGCGTGAGGAAGAGGGATGGGCACTACAGGCTGAGGAGCGAGGCCTCAGAAGAAGTCTACGCCCTGACTTTGCACTCACAGAACTGTCAGGGAATTGATTTCTGTCGTCAAAGTCAGCCAGTTTGTGGCACTTTGTTGTGACGCCAGAGAAAATGAGATGCCCTGTCTAGGACACTTTTATTAGCTGGATGTAGGGCTCACTTAGCCGTTGTGCATTCCCTGGAGATCACAGAGTAGGGCATGTGGCCTGGCCAGGCGTGGTGGAGCTGTCTATGGAAGGAGACAGTGTCTTCCCTGGTCTGCCTGGCTCCCCTCCCCCGCCCATTCCCAGTCAGGCCCTGGAATCCACTGGAGTCTGATGCTGTAGCGTCAGGGTTAGAAACATCCATCACATCCTTCGGTCACAGAACCAGGCTGCTCCACAGGATGGCAGGCACGGGTGGGGGAAGGGTGGTCGAGGCGATCGTAGCTGTTCTTCACGGCTCTTCACAAGATGCACGGTGGGGACATGGCAGTGTCAGAACGTTCTGAGGGCAGAAGCTTTGGTCCTCTGATGCCGAAATGTCACCTACTGGTCACCTGCTCAGGTCCAGGTGAGTCAGCTTCCACAAAAAAGAGTTTTGGAGAAGTGACCCAGGCAGCCATTATCGTCAGGACCCACACGATAGGGGTATTTATGGCAGAGAGTGGGAGACCAAGAGCCTGGCCAGCTGTGTGGCCTCTCCAACGAGTGATTTTTAAAAGTCAGCCAGAAGTGGGGCTAGGAAGACGGTCCAGCGGGGAAAGTGCTTGCTAGGTGTGCACAAGGACCCGAGTTTGATCGCCAGCACCCATGCAATGGGCCGTGCAATGGTGCTCATCTGTGACCCCAGCAATGAGCCAGAGGCAAGAACATCCCTGCCACATGCTGGCCTGCTGCTTTAGGTGACTTACCGAGAGATCCTGGCACAAAAAAGGAGGTTGAGAGCGATTAAGGAAGACACAGGAGACATGGGACCTCTCTCTTACACACACACACTCACACACCAACCAACAAACCCACATACAAACCAAAACCAAAAATAAAATAGAACTCAGATAATAGCAACTTATTATTAAAAGCAAATGAAGCAGCTGGTCGCAGTGGCCACGTCTTTGATCCTAGTACTTGGGAGGCAGAGGCAGGTGGATCTCTGTGAGTTCGAGGCCAGCCTGGTCTACAAAGCGAGTCCAGGACAGCCAGAGCTCTGTTATACAGAGAAACCCTGTCTCAAAAACCAAAAGCCAAAACCACCCAACCAACCAAAAAAAAAAAAAAAAAAAAAAAAAAAAAAAACCAAATAAATAAATAAATATAAAATAAAAACCTCCAAACAACCCAAACCAAGAAAAGCAAGCAAGTGAAGCTGGATGACTCTGTCTGTCTGTCTGTCTATCTATCAGTAGTTTTTTTCCCCCCTTGGTGGTGAGAGGATCAAGCTCCTGGCTAGCTTAGGGTAACCGGCTGCTTTATTGTCAAAGTCCTTGCATTTTTGGATCCTTTTAAAACGTATGACACAAAATACAGCTTGTGGGAATGCTCAAAGCCTCAGAGGCTTACAATAGAACTCAGGAATTTTTTGCTCTTTTCCAGACCCATAGGCACACGTGATCTCCTGAAGAAGCGCCTACGGGAGACAACAGGTCCCGTAAGAATAGAAGTTTCTGGGCTGGGCTAGGAAAGAAGTCTGAGCCAGCAAAAGAAGTCAGGGCCCAGCAGTAGTTTTGAACCTGAGTAGTCGCCTTGTCACGGTGGCTGGCCACTGGCCAATCCCGAGGAGCCTCATCCTGTCTGAGTAACCAAGCTTCCTCTGGAGGGAGGAAACAGTTAATGTCTCAGGGCAGCTGCAATCAGCTAGGCGTGGCTCTCTGCTCTGACTTGGGCTACACAGACCTGAGCCAAGGGGCTGAAGAAGGACAGGACGCCCTTAGTCTCAGTAGTCCTGCAGAGCCTCCAGATGGCCGAATTGGACCTGATTGCTCCGGGGCCACTGACCGGGGTCCCTGTTCACCCTTTGGGCCCTCTCCACCCAGACCCTGGGCCAGCTATCCCAGTAGAAGAGGATGTGGACTCTCTCGGGAAGCAAGGGGAGGAAACCCAGGGACAGGGTCTCGACCCGGCGAATCTCCGTGCCCCCGGTGAGGAAGGCGAGGAGATCCTATGCGACTTCTGCCTTGGGGCCAGCAGAGTCAGGGCAGTGAAGTCCTGCCTGACCTGCATGGTGAATTACTGTGAGGAGCATCTGCGGCCACACCAGGAGAACAGCAAGCTGCACAGCCACCAGCTGACGGAGCCCGCCAGGGACCAGGATCTGCGCACCTGCCCTGCCCACCACAGCCCTCTGACTGCCTTCTGCAACACGCACCAGCAGTGCATCTGCCAGCAATGCGGCGAGGGTGAGCACAGGGGTCATGACACCGTCTCCCTGGATGCAGCCCGCAGACGCAGGGAGGTGAGTGGCGGGGTCAGTCCACCTGGGGGGCAGCGGGAGACGGTGTCCCCAGGGGGAGGTCAGACAGGTGGGTCTGTTGATGTCACTGTGTGTCCTCAGCCCACAGACAAGAACTTTAGGCGTAGTGCCTGGGTGTTCGTCCGGTGTAGATAAACATCTATAGCCCTTGGCTTTGGGAACAAAAGTGGGTCACCGTCCCGATCTCTGTGTCCCCGTTGCTGGGCAGTCTCTATTGTCTCTGCCCCTGCGTGGGAATTTCCTCCTGTTTCTAGTTAGTGTTTGGCAGTTGTGTTTGGGTGTGGTTTTACCACGAAAGCAGCCAGCACAAAACAATGAAGATAACTGAATTTGAAACATGCACTGAGGTAAATGCCAAGGACAGACGACTTCAGTCACAGGAGAGTTAAAGTTCCTTTAGCGGACAGGCGTACCAGGATTGTCTGAGATACACCGCTCGAAAAGTTTAAGTTTTTTTCTGCCACCAGATAAAGAAACCATTTCTGGAACACCTCTTACCTTCATCCTGAAGCCAAGGGCCCAGGCAGGACCTTGGGGATGGCTGCAGACTTGCATGCTTTGCTTCTCCCACTTTGAGATTTGCCCGGTAGGGAGTGAGGTTGACTCTTGTCCCGTGGGTCCTGGCTCATGCTCAGGGCAGCTGTGTGCTGCCCACCGTTGGCAGGGCCATGGTCTCTTTGTGGCACTGTGCTCCTGGGCAGTAAAGGAAACAAAGAGCTCTCCTAACCAGGGCACTTCCTTTGTGGCTATACCAGAGGTAGATTCTCTTTAGTCCTGGTGGGTGGCTTGTTCTGCAGAGTCCTGCACTCCAGATGCTACTGAGTCACCACTTCCGGCCTGGGAAGACGCTTGTCAACTGTTTCCAATATCAAGGAATGTCCTACAAGGAAAGTACAGAAATCAGCAAATACATCAAAGAAAGGACCTGCCCAACTGAGGGAAATAGCCCTTACTGACTACTGCCACTTGAAAAATACTTTTTGTAGATTTTTCCCGTCTGATATTTCAGTAATGATTAGGTGAGGGCTCTGATGGTCTCTGTCGTACTTGTTCAAGTTCGTACAGCTAATGGGCGAGGCACGGAAGCCTCTGGAATACCGTCTTATTGGAGAGAAATGAAGACCCTCAAATCACAGCATTGTAGTCTTAATATTTATTCGTTTATTTGACATGTGGGGGGGTGTGCATGTGGGTGCGTGTATGTGAGCATGCGTGTGGAGGCAGAGCTTAACCTCAGGTGTTCTCTTTAGGAGTTACCAAAATAAAAATAAGAAATCTCCTTATCCTCAAGAATGTCCTACAGGTATGCAACAAAATACGATTATAAACGTACCTCACCTCCCCAAGATGTCCTCTCTCAACTTAATGTCTTTTTTTTTTCTTTTTAATAACCCACTAAAGCCACTTAGTGCTGCCTATTTGACACGGCTTCTCATTTGGACTCAAGTTAGCCAAACAGGCTAGGCCCACAAGACCCAGGGATCCCCCTTCTCTGCGTCCCCAGCCCTGGTTATAAGCACATAGCACGGTGCCTGTGTAATGTTTTTTGGATTTATTTTATGTGTACATGTTGTCTACATGTATGTATGGGCACCAGCTGTGTGTCTGAAGAGGGTGTCAGTTCCCCTGCAACTGGAGTTATGCACAGTTGTGAGCTGCCAAGTGGGTGCCAGGAACCACACCCAGGTCCTCTGCAAGGGCAGCAGGTGTTCTTCACGGGCGAACCATCTCTTCAGCCCCCGGCTCAGAAAACCATTTCTTTATTTCATGTGTTTGTGCACCACCTGCACAGCAGCTACCATAGGGACAGACCACTGCGAGCCATGCTGTGCGTGCCGGGACTCGAGCCCAGGCCCTCTGGAGAGCAGCCAGAGCTCTTAATGGCTGCGGCATCCCATCAGCAGTCCCAGCTTTTAAAGACGTGAGTTCTGACTATCGGATTTAGGCCCTCATGTTTGCGCAGCAAGCACTTTACTGACTGAGCGACCTCCCCAGACCCAAACGACAACGAAACGACCATCAAACACTCACACGCACACTTACACCAACACACACAGCCCCCCCCCCCCCCGCTCCCACACGCAATCTGGTGTACATGCATTAGTGACATTTGGGCCCAGTATGTTACTATTCTCTTTGGATAAAGTACCTGAATTTTACTATTTTTTTCTAATTGGAAAATACTTATGCACAAGGATGTTAAAAACAAACAAACAAAAAACCCAGCTCTATCAAACAATGCGATGGAGCAGGGAGGAAGTTCTCCACCCTGATTCCAGATCCACACCCCGCTCCTCTGATCAGAGCGACTACATTTGGCTCCTTCAGCGATGTTCTGTGCCTGTACCAGCACAGACGCACTATAAACTGGAGTGTAGTCCAACTAGTGTACCATGGACACGTGGGTGATAGAATTTCCGGCAGGAGGAACAGTGTGGAGCACGTGCGAAGCCCCAGATGTGGACATCTTAGGAGAGAGCTGTGACACACAAAATGAGGAGGGCTGGCCGAGAGCCTGTGGGGAGGTGCAGTGAGACAGCCTGGGTCGGGGACCCTTCTGCTTTCTGGTTTGCTTCAGGGAGTGGTGTCCTTTGTGTCCTATCTCCTCATTGTCGGCACAGGGATCGAGTTTACTCTGAGTGGCTCCACCCAGTCTTAGGAGTCAGAAGAAATTTTGCAAGGAGCCCAAGAGCCCAGCTCAGAAGACAGTATCTTGAGGAGACAAGCAGCATTAGGATTGTTTGGAAAGACTAGTTAGGCATAGGTCAGGTTCCAGAAGCCCAGCGTGCCTCTCGGCCAGTCCACACCTCCTGCACTTACTTGCTTCCTGAAGGTCACTTTGGAGCCAGCCATGGGCTAATAACTCATGCAGGCGTGTTGTGTACAGGGAATGGCAGCATGAGGTCAGCTGGGAGGGCACAGAGGGATGTTCCTGTCAGCCGTGGTAGTGAGTGCCAGCCGGACTGATGGATGAAAGCTGGATGCAGCTGATCAAGTACTTATCCTGTCCTAATGAGCTCCCTGAGCCCCGCTGTTCCCGACAGGGAGCTAAGTGCTCCTCTCAGCTCTGCCTCAGCGCCCCCCGAGACTCCTTCCATCTTGTCAAAATCTCAGGCTTGTCATAATGGAAAGGAGATAGCCATCTGTCCTGCCCTCCGTGTGTGTGTGTGTGTGTGTGTGTGTGTGTGTGTTCCAGAGACCACCTTCGTCATTTTCTCTGCCCCATGAAGTGTGGGTGGCTCCCTCCTGCTCTTCCGAGGGCACCTGATGGGTTAAGTGGGATCCTGGCTGTCCTGTGTACCCTCAGAGAGAGGGTTTGGGCTCAGGAAGGAATGACACATACTATGAATCCATGGTGTGCCAAAGGGCTGCTGGTGTAACACAGCTGCTGTGTGTTTGGAGGAGGGACCCGGCCTGGAAGTGAAGGCAGGGCAGTGCTCCCGGAGGAGGGGAGGCTGATCTTAGTCTTGACTAAGGTTTTTGAAGACCACTAGTGCCAGGCTGCTAGCTTCAAACTTAGCATTGATTCCAGAAGGTCAGCATGGATCTTGATTGCACAGTCAAGATCCATGGAGCGAAGGTGCCAACCATTTGAAAACTGGAAGGTTTTGTGTTTGTCTGGAGAGCTGTCAGCCAGCATCACCCGGTCTGTTTGCAGGAGCCGGTAGGTGGTGTGGTAAAGGGTCACTCAGGATAATAATTTCTCACAGAAACGCAAATGAGTGCCTCTGGGTCAGAATGATATAACTTGTTTCTTGGCCCCTTCCCTTCCCCCAAGACAGGGTTTCTGTGTGTAGCCTTGACTGTCCTGGACTTGCTTTATAGACCAAGCTGACCTTGGACTCACAGAGATCCTCCTGCCTCTGCCTCCCCAAGCGCTGGGATTACAGGTGTGTGCCACTGTGCCTGGCTTATATAACTTGTTTACTCAAAGGCACCAGACTACTGCTGCTGTTTTCTGAGAGCCCGCGCGTGTGGCTTAGCTGACCTGACTGGCATGCAGCAGGTCCTGAGCCAGTCACTGCGGAATGCAGTCAGAGGCCAGGTCTAACTGTGATGCTGGAGGTGAAGTCCGCCTGCCAGCAGAGTCAACGACTCGTAAAGTCCTACAGCCCAGGAGCAGGGTCTTCACACCCCAAACGTCACCTTTCTCAACGCCGCCCACCCTGCACTGTCCATGCTCCCAGGCGCCGCTGTCCTGCTGTCAGGCAGGGTGGCCTGAGATGAGGGGTGGCTGCTGCTCTCTGGGGGAACCCTGAGGTCAGCCTACACCAGCCCCTCATTTTCTAGGAACAGGAATAACTGGAGAGACGGGCTTCCAAGCAGCCCCACCTTTTTGTGGTACTTGGGAGTGTTTTCCTTTGTGGTGACTCACAGAACTCCTCATTTGGTGCGTAGGCATCCCTTTCTCCTTTTATGGAAGTCTAGAGGGCCGGGGAGAGAGAAGCCCCTTGCTGGACACCCTGGGTCTCACGCTATAGTTTGGCTGGGACCGCTGTTTTAAAACACATCTGCGTGGCATCCCCGCTCAGAGAACCAGGTTGCTAGGCCATGCTCTGCATGTCCTCCAGCTCCTTCAAGCAAGCAGTTCACGTTTCCCTCCTAGCCCCAAATGGGTCACTGTATAAGATTCCAAGATTGCCCTCAAATAGGCCAGGCGCCCTCCTCCTCTTTCCCCAGTCCCCATTGCTAGACATCAGGTCTCAAGTATCAAGGGTGTATGATCCCGGAGCCACCCTCAGCTCCACTCCAATGACCAAGAGCTTGAGCAAAGACTGCGCGCCTGCATGTCCCAGTGCTCTGCCTACAGCTGTTCCCTCGCTGTGGGGGCGGGGTAGGTGTAGATGGTGGGAAGCTAAGGGGGAGGGGTGGAGGGAGGTGTGAAACTCCCTGAGGCTTCATGGGCAACAGCCAGAGACTTCATTTATGACTTCTGCGGTCTATTGGGTATAACAGATTGGTTTTAAGGCCAGGACAGAGGCTCTTAAAAGCACAGACAGCTGTTTGTTTATTAGGTTTTTTTTTTTTTTTTTCCTGTCTCATGCCCTTGTAGACATAAGAAAGTGGCAGTCTTTGAAGTATGCAAAGGGTTATGTTCTCTATGTTGACTTTTTTTTTTTGGCAGGGGAAGGTGACAGGAGTGAAAGGTGAAGGCAGGCAAACCTAAGATTGTCAGGCAGGTTTGGGGGAGGGCAGAAACTGCCTCCTGTGCAAACATGGAGTATGAAGAGAGAGCAGCTCTGGCAGCAGAGTGGTGACCGATAACATTAAGAATGAAATTATTGACACGGTTCATTTACAGTGTACCCGGCTCTGTAGGGTTCTTATTCATATACATAATTTCACTTAGTTCATTGTCTCATAAGCAGAGGGATTAGGCATTTTATCCCTATCACCCAGGTGAAGAAATGGACATTTTAGATCTATTATGTTATGAAATAATAAGAAATGCATGCGTGTTGATTGCTTTTCTTGGTGTTTTGGCCGGGTCCCCAACAAAGAGGAGCTTAAGGATGTCAGAGTTTTTTCTTTACAGTTTAGGAAGGCTGCAGGCTGTCACTGTGAGAAGGCAAGAGGCTTGGGGCAGCTGGTCATGTTGAGTCTGTAGTCAAGAAACAGAGAGCAAATGCCAGAGAGGTGACTCAGCAGTTCAGAGCACTTGCTGCTTTTCCAGAGGGCCCAGGCTTGATTCCCAGCACCCACACCAAGTATTCAAACACAGGGGACTCTGGGAGACATCTCACATCGAAACCAGAACATTGAACCCATCCTTGACCCCCATATCACAATGAAAAATGCAGTCACTCTAACTTCAAAAGTCTCATAGTCTTTAACAGTTCCATTGCTGTTCAAAAGTCCAAAGTCCCTTCCAGGACTAATGGCAGCCTCTTCACTCTGAACCTGTGTCCATTGCCTGGCCACACTCGCTTTTTGGTATCCTGATGCAGGCCCTCCACGATCCTCTTACTCTTGCATCTGCCATGCTTCAAAACCAGGACCATGTGGGTGAATCCACCAGGCTCTCCTGCCCATTCAGGACGTCTCTCGGCCCCCTTGAATGACGACTGCCGTGGCCTCTGTAAGCCTTGCCGGCGAATCTTCTAAAAATCACTTTACCAGGCAGTTGTTTTTGAGCAGGGAACCCCTTCTATGACAGTCGCAGTTCAGTCTCTCTCGTTTCAATTTTATTTACATTATATATATAAATTTACAGTACATATTACATACATCTTTAGAAATTGGGCCTTTTGATGGGAGGTCTTGCTCTCAGGACACTGTCCCTGTGTCCTGTGCGGAGCATGAGATGTCTCCCTGACAGCGATTCTCTTATTGATTTGCAGATGGTTTAGAACCCACCTGTCTGCACCTTGAGTTTTGCTACCGTCCTTGACAAGTTGCACTTTTTTTGTACGTACCTGTTGCTCTCTCTCACTGCCTTCCCAGAGGAGTTAGCTCCAGTGAGCAGTTAACTATGACTCAGTCTGAACGTTAGTCTTGAGCTTTCCTCCACCAAACAAATTAGTCCACTGCTTTTGTATTCATCCCGAATTAACTCCTCAGGATGCAGGCAGAATGAAGCTTGAGTGAGCCATAAATGACTACATCCCAGCACCGCGTTCATGCTCCAGGCATGGCAGCTAGTTCATGCTTCCTTTAGTCTCAGGAGGCCACTGGCACCTGTTCACCTTTGTGCCTCTAGGCTGGCTTCTGAGATCAGCTTAAAGGTCATACTCTCCTTTCACCGGAGAAAGGCAGGGATATGAAGGACAGAAAGTGCCATTGCCCTTGGGGACTATTTGTATATACCTGACTCTTTGCTCTTTAATTCTTTCCTTCTCCCTTCTTAGGCTGACCTTCGGTGCATGCAGCTGGACCTGGAGCAGAAACTCAAGCTGAATGAAAACGCCATTGCCAGGCTCCAAGCCAACCATAAGTCTGTTTTGGTAAGATTGGCTCAGGTCACCTCTCTGGCTTCCAAGTACTTGGCTGCCACTGCTGGGTTAGTAAGACCCCGTTGGGGCTGTAGGACATGGGTTGAAGACCTAGCACAGCTCTCAGCACGTGACAGAAGCAGGCACCGTTGGCTACCAGCACAACAAGATTATATATGCTTTCTTAGCTAGGAGAAAAGTGTGTATTTGTGCGTGCTTGTGATTGGAGGCGCCTAGTCAGAGTTCCAGGAGTGCCCCTGGCTTAGGAGGGTGGTCTTCTGGAAGCTGAAAAAAATGAATCAAGAACTCCTAGATTAGCAAGTGGCATTTGGTAAGGCCAATGCTATGACAGGATGCTTAGCTTTAGTCTCTTCTGGTTTGCGTCTAATTTCCCAATAGTAAGTTCCACAAATACCTCTCATTGATGACAAGCCAAGAGCATACAAGACACCTTTCCTATGGCAGTGAGTTGGCAGTGTCATCTTGCATGCTGAGAATGAATGATTCTATCCATCTGTCTATCACTCATCCATCCTTTACCCAACTGACCACCTATTTTTTCAACTACTCATCTGCTTATCTGCATTCCCATCCATCCATCCATCCACCCATCCATCCATCTATCCATCCACCCATCCATCCATCCATCCATCCATCCACTCACCCACCCATTCACTCAGACATTTATTATAATCTAATAGTCAACTTAATTTGTTTCCTTATATTTATAACCAAGTAGCCACGGAAGAACGAAACCTTCCTTACCCACAGTTGTTAGGCCACAGGCCTTCTAACTATTGTGCTTTCTATATCTCCCAGAAATCAGGCCATACCTCTGCAGTCTTTCCATCTCAAGGCACAGAGTTTATAAGTCCTCCCTCTCCCTTGCAGCTTCAGGATAAGTTTATAGTCCTACTTTGTGCTTTGCTTCACGCCCCTTGGCGTTTGGCTAAGCCAGGCTAAGTCACAGTTTGGCACTTACCTCTGATCCCCATGAAAGCCTGTAGGACAGAGGGACTCCCTCTGTTTCAGGGATCTGAAGGGAACTGACAGGCTCCTGTTTCTCTCTCCAGGGCCCTGCATTGGCTGCCTATGGTCATGAGGTACTTACTCTGCATAGAGCTAAGTGAGCTCCCATGTCAGACACCAGCTTCCTCTCTACAGACCTTCTTTTCTTTGTTATAGGCACAATATCTTTCCAAAGAAAGAAAAACAAACAAACAAACAAACAAAAACAAACAAAAAAAAACAGTTCCTATAAAGTCCCAGAGACTTGATGTGAAAGTTCAGGATGGTAGAGAGGACCACATAGGACATCACCTTGTTCAGGCTCTTTAATTTGATCCCTGCTTAGTTCTTATAATGACCTGGTGGCCAGAGAGATATTGCGATGGCCCTCAGATACAAGGAATGTGGAGACACAGAGAGACGTTAAGACCTGTCCTGGACTCTTCATATTGATTGGATGGGAGACTCTGGGATTGCTGACCTTGACCTGCAAAGGATTCCGTACGTTGCTGGGCATGTGCGCCCTCCTCAGATTTTGAAACCATCAACTACTGACTGCCTTGATATGTCCACAGCTCTCTCTTGGCATAGCTTACTTGTCATAGTTTGGGAATTAATGAACAGCCTTCACCATTCCATTCATGTGTAACTAAGAAACAGCTCTCAGTGGGAAGTTTAGGAAGGAGAGGCCCCAGCAGGAGCAGGAGTCTCACCCACCGACAGCAGCCATCATTCCATGCCTCCCTTCCGTTAGCCTTCATCAGGATGACCTCCGATGGGTGTGACCTTCCGTTTTGCCTTCAGACCGATGTCATTTAGCCTGCCATAATTGTTCTTTTATAGAGAACCCACATGCTGTAATTGTGGAGGTTAAATGGACTGTAGTCCTTTCCCGTGGCACCTTCATGTTGATCCCATGTCTTTTTCTGCTCCTGGATTTCAGAGTCTGTTTAGAAAGTGGCCATAAACCAGGGAGGCCAAAGCCAAGCAGTGGGGCAGTGCGGGGCTCGCATCAAACACCACGTACTAACCTCGGAATTCCTGATTCCCTTTCCAGCCTCCAGCACATGAGCCTAGGGACCCGCTCACAGAGACCGCCCTGCCAGGACAGAGGCAGCCCAGGGCACCTACAATTCCTGCAGCTCTGAGCATAAGCCCGCGCACACCTCCTACCACACAGACACACCCTGGTTTCAGAGAGCAAACACAAGCTTGTTCTGTCGGCTGCCACCTGTCATATCAGCACCTGGGCGGCCGAGACAGGAGGATTGCCAAGAGTTTAAAGCCGGTCTGGATAGGGAGCAGGCAGAGCATGGAGGCCCTGCTTGCTTCTGTGACTCATGACACATGTGTACCTACTGCTTGAGGGCGGGGATGGGGAGTGAGCCAGAGAGCTGGAATGAGTTACTTAAAGTACAGCTTGGATGAGACACCAACAGCTCTACAGCCCCTCCCCCAATCCCTGCAAGGGCAACAAGCCAAACTGACCTATCTTTCACGGTAGATTCTTTTTCTTTCAGATTATATTTCCAATGTGAAAATGCAATTTAACGTTTAGACCGCAATCCAACTATATGTTGAGGCCGTCTACAATGATGAGTCCATAATCTATTGCTGTAGCAGAATACTTGCGCTGAGTTCTTTGTAAATTAAAATAAATTTGCTTGGCTCACAGTTTTGGGGCTTCGTGATCATCTGGGTACAAGCTGGGTTCTAGTGAGGGCCTCGTTAGTGGCTTAGCACTGCTAAGCTGTGGAAGAGCGTGTGTAGGAGGAGAGAGACAAAGAGCGGCCAGGACAGCGAGGCTCATTCTTTGATAACAATCCTCTCGTGGGAACTAACTAGGGTTGTGGCCCAGGAAAACTACCTCAGCTTCTTCTGAGGGTATGGGCAGAGCTCCATGGCTCTTCCATTTCCTCCTACTGCAAAGCCTGATGAGCTGGAAACCGAGTGACCTGGCACACAGACAAACCATATCTGAACCATGGCAGTGATCAGACACATGGGTGCTCCTCATAGCCCTGCGATTTTTGGGCAAATGGCCGAATTTTCTGGTGTCTCAATTTCCTTATCTCAGGGACAGGGAGCATAATGGTGTCTTCTTGTTAGGGTGGATACAAGGACACAGGATGTTTGCCCCAGTGCCCAGAACCCGGTAACACATAGTCATCCTGGCCGCTGTGCTTATAATTTCATATCATTGCACAGATAACTGGCGAGGTAGCACAGGAGACCCAAGACTGCCTTACACTGCCCTGGCTCCTGCATACTGCTACCCATCCCAGGGCTTTCCTTGGTCTGGGCTGTAGGATTTTGGAGAAAACTTGTCCTCTGCCCTCTCTCTTGATGGCACCACAGTGTATTTGCTTCTAGCTTTGTCCAGCATAAAGAAACCAACAGATGATGGAACAACAGACATGCCGCTGAGCATATGGGCGTTCCATAGACTCTCCAGGACCCTTTCTGGCGTGCGTGTGTGTGTGTGTGTGTGTGTGTGTGTGTGTGTGTGTGTGTGTGATTGGCTTGCTTTCCCTTCTGTATCATCAGCCGTAAAGCAAAGGCTGATCGGAGAGTATTCGTTCTCCCAGCATTACACTCCGAGGCCCGGCCTGAGCCAGGCAGTGTTTCTCATGTCTGCTCCCATCATTCCTTCTTGCCTTCTCTGCCCAAAGCTGTTGGCTCCCACAGGCCCTGGGACAGCCCTTCCCTTACCAGGCTTCCCATTTTGAGTGGCGGCCTCCCTGGAGAGGGGTGCTGTGTGCCTCAGTGAGGAGACCAACCGCTTTTGCTTTCCTTGGAGAGCCAATGCCTGGCCCCGGCCCTCAATTAGGAAGAACAGAAAATAGAACCTGAGAGAGAGCTCAGATGCGTGGGTGTGAGCGATGCTGAGGCAGGCAGAGGATGCCCTGGGCTAGGGGGTGGGGATACAAGGGTTAGGGCAAAGGAAACTATATTCAAGAGCTTCTCAGGAAGTGCATGCAGTCATGCACAACTCCTTGGGTGGCACAGTCACCCACCCTCTAAACCTTCACGAAGACTGCCTGCTAGAACAGCAGAAGAAATGGGAGCGTTGGCCCCTGCTCTAGGGACACTGTACTCTCAGATGCACTTTTGGCTCAGCCAATGGTCACTTAAACAAGGCATAACGAAATGCTGAGAAGGCTTACATGAAACAGCCCAACCATTTCTCTGCCTCTTGAAATATATTCATCAAATACTGGTACGGCCATTATGACAATCAATATAGTGGTTCTCTACCTGTGGGTCATGATCTCTTTGTGGGGCAAACGACCCTTTCACAGGGGTCGCCTAAGACCATCAGAACACTCAGATATTTACATTATGATTCATAACAGTAGCAAAAATACAGTTATGAAGTAGCAAGAAAGATAGTTTTATGGTTGCGGGGTGGGGGGGTCACCACAATGTGCAGAATTATATTAAAGGGTCGCAGCCTCGGGCAGGTTGAGAGCCACTGATTCACTGTTCTGAATCAGAACAGACTGAGAAGAGCACATCTGTTTCCCCAGGAACCTAGGATTCCCACAGGAACAAAAGTGCCTTTTACAGCCTGGTGCTCCTTAATCTTTGTGCTTCGCGGCTTCCTAGTTATGAATGCTGAGCGTTGGCCAAGGTGGAATCCACTGTAACGGAGTCTTGTCTGCCTCCCGCTCCATCCCCCCCAGGTGTCGGTGTCAGAGGTGAAGGTGGTGGCTGAAGAGAAGTTTGGGGAACTGCTCGCAGCCGTGAGGAAGGCCCAGGCTGACGTGATGCTCTTCTTAGAGGAGAAGGAACAGGCTGCACTGAATCAGGTCAATGGCATCAAGACCCACCTGGAGTACAGGAGCATCGAGATGGAGAAAAGCAAGCAGGAGCTGGAGAAGTTGGCTGCCATCAGCAACACCGTGCTCTTCCTGGAGGTACAGAGGCTGGGGGAAACAGCCCCCCCCCCCATGCATCTGGCCTGAGGCACGCCCGTGAGTGGGTCTGTCTTTTCATAGCGGGAACTGTAAAGGCAGGGGGAGTCGGGTCTTGATTCATCAGAGAGCAGTGATACAGGAGGGATAAAGATGCTCAGAGTGGGGAGGAGCCTGGAAGGTGGGCCAAGTTCAAGATGCTGTATGTGCCTGGAAGAGACCACCATGTGCAAAGACAGAGGAGTATAGGAAAGCACGCCTGGCTTGGGGAGCCAAGGCGCTTTGACAAGGCGCGAGTGTGGGGTCCACAGTGATGGCAGGTGGGCCTGGCGGGCAAGCGACTGAGAAGGACTTTGGGTAGAGAAGCAAAGAGCGCAGAGGTGTGCTTCATGAGGGTATGTGGAGGTTTGCACGGCAGTGTGAGAGCGAAGAGACCGGTTAGGTTTCAGAGCGGGTATAACCACTACTTGAGGAAGGCTTAGCAAGGGGAATGGAACTTTCCATCTCACACAAGAGGCCCATGCCAGTTAGTGCTAGGTCTAAAGAACGTGCCACCATGCGGATAACATTACATGCGGTCCTAGATCTGTCTTTAGATACCCCGGTGTAGCTTTCAAAAAAGTCACCCAAACTCCTGTGGGTATCAGATTCCTTACTTACCAAACGTCGGGTCAGAGTAAATAATCTGCAACTCTTCTTTCAGCTGCACCATTTCAAACACGATTTCTTGCTTTTGTTTTTCCGTCTTTTGAAACAATTCCCTTCTATTTATAGGAAACTAAATACCTCTGGTGAAAAACAGAAATATATGAAAGAACCAAATATACGAGTAATCTTAGTACCCAAAGGCAGCTACAGTTAATCTTTCAGTGAGTGAGAAAAACACACCAAAAAAGATAGACAAAAATATAGACAATCTCTCTCTTTCTCTCCGTTGTTTTGCTTTGTGATTCCAAAACCACAAAGAAAATGTGAAGATTTGACCCCCTGTTCCTGGGGGTTTACCAAGGTATCTTCTAAAAAGTATAAGATAGTTTCCCTTTCTTCTCCTTTTGTTTTTTCATTATTATTGTTATTATTATTTATTATTAAAATTGATGAGGTCTCAGATATCCCAGGCTGGCCTCTAACTTGTTACGTATCTGAGGATGACGTTGAACTTCTGACCCTCCTGCTTCTACCTCTCAAGGGCTAAGATTATGGGCAGCAGCCACACCACACCTGGCTTATGCCTTGGTGGGGTCAAATGCAAGGCTTTGTGCCTGTCAGGCAAGCACTCTTACCAACTGAACTACATCTCTAGCCCCTGTAACTTTATTTCTAAGATAAAAATTTTAATATGCATGACATATATTTTGGCATTATGTAACTTAGTTATAAAATTTAGTGATAGATAAGTTAACTTTCCACAAGTAATAATTCAGTCAAAGTGACAGCATTTCTTTATTTGTTTAGACATAGCTTTATTTGTTTAGACATTTGTTCCGATATAGCTCAGGCTGGCCTTAAACTTGAGCTCCTCCTACTGATTTCTGAGATTACTGGCATGAACTGTAACTTAAACTGACAGTATGTATGTTCTTTTGCTTCACTTATTTGAAGTACTTTTATCATGCACGACACTAAATCGATGTGCAATATGAAAGTGCTTCTCTACAGAGCTCTGGTTTGGACTTCCTTCTATGGTCTGCCTTGGCATGACCAATTTCGTTCCTGCTCTATCCAGTCTGCTACCTGAAGCTTCATCTGCACCTGAGTAGTGACAGTGTATTATACACAAAGACAATCTTCCCTGATCATAGTTGGTTTTGAAACTCAAGTAGCCTAATGTGGCTTGCTGGTGTGTGTATAACTTTCAAGTTCTAAAGCAAAGTGCAAGAGTAACAAATGTACCTGCTGGGCTGACCAGGGCTGAAGGTTGTCTTTAGGATGCAGCAGAGAAGCCAGCTCGTCCATTCTCACCACAGCTTGTACTTAAGCTATGGAAAGAGAAAGAATTTAGGGAACAACTGGGGCAGGAATGTTCTTACTCTCTGGTCCCCAGTCTGAGTTGTATATTAAAGCTGTCTGTGGTCATACATCTTTTGACCTTAAGAAATCCACTTTCCCACTTGGTTTTGGCAAGACCCATTTCCTTCAGAAGCATAGAACACACTTGATGTGCCCTTTCTCTGGGAAGCGCCTGCTGCCATCAGCCCATTCTACAGATGTAGAGAGATCCTGCCAAGAAAAGCCACCTGATTCCGTTTCCCTCCCTGCAGGAGTACTGCAAGTTTAAGGAGACGGAGGACGCTGCCTTCCCCAGCGTTTACATAGGGCTGAAGGATAAACTCTCAGGCATCCGCAAGGTCCTCACAGACTCAACTCTGCACTTGATCCAGTTGCTGGAAAGCTACAAGGAAAAGCTCCAGGAGTTCGCCAGGGAAGGTGAGAAGGTCTCAGAACGGTGATGAGGAAAGAGGGGACCTGAGAAAGGAGGAGAAAGGACCCATTTCAAAGCCATTCTTTGGCTAATGAGTCTTATCTCGACTTTATAATTGCAATCTGAATGAGGTAAGTCTGTCATTTGCAGGGGCATTTCTGTGACTAGCTCCTCAGGCTGCTCAAGCTGCTCAGGTCTGGGGTTATAAGTGGATTCTGTGTCAGCCTGCTGTCTTCTCCAGCAGGGTTTGTCCAGGACGATGAGTGTGTCCAGGCTCCCCGGCACCAGACCCTCAAGAAGCCTGGGGAAGGGCAGCCACCTAGACAGGTACTCATTCACAACTCTCTGCTCTTCCAGAGGAATGCGACATCAGAACTCAGGTGTCCGCCATTGTCCAGCGCAAGTACAGAACCTCAAAACCCGAGCCCCGAACCCGGGATGAGTTTCTCCAATGTAAGTTGTGAAAGGCAGCCCCTTACAGATATGCCGGTGGCAGCGGGATGCTTTGCCAAAGCAAGAACCACCACATCTTGTAGAGAGTTTGGGTTCCTGTAGCCCCTCATCTATTCCTAAATGATATGCTTTTAAGTTTTTAATTGAAAAAAAATTTCCTTGAAATAAATTTTAAAAAATGTAAAAATTGCATAGAGAATTCCTATACACTCACCTACCATTCAGTTTCTCCAAAATGTTGACATCATACATAACTATGATGCCTCTTGCAGGAAATTAGTGTTGCTGCAATGTTATTAACGATGTTGTGAGATCTTCTTTTCTGATTGTCTTAGCTACTTTTGTATTGCTGAGATAAAACACTATAACCAAGGCAACTTAAAAAATTTAAAAGTGTTTACATAAGGGACACAACCTTGAGGCAGAGAGAGAGGGGGAGTGAGAGAGAGACAGAGACAGAGACACAGAGAGGGACTGACAGAGACAGAGACGGCAGAGAAATAGACTAGGAGTAGGAATTCACGGATGTTTGCAACCCCAAAGCCCACCCTCAGTGACACACCGCCTTCAACAAGGTCCCACCTCCCAGTCCTTCCCAGATAGCTTCACTAACTAGGATCCAGGTATTCAAATATTGAGCTTGTGGGGGTCATTCTCATTCAAACCACCACATTGGCCCACAGGCGCAGCCAGAAACACAGGTGTTTCCATTTGTTCTAGTTTTCCTTTCTGCTGCTGTGATAAAACACTCTGAACAGAAGTGGCTTAAGGGAGGAAAGGGTTTATTTCAGCTTACATTCTGGGCCACAGTCTATTATTAAAGAAAGTTCGGGTGGGAATTTAAAGCAGGAACTTGAAGCAGAAACCATAAGGGAAGGTTGCTTGCTGGTTTGTTCAGTAACAGACTTATGCTTAGGTAGCTTCCTTGTTCAGCCCAGGAATGGTGCCATCCACAGTGGTCTGGGCCTTCCTTCAATTAATAATCAATAAGCCCCTCCTCTGACTTGCCTACAGACCGATCTGCCTGAGGTGAGACTCTGCTGAGTTTTTCCTTTTAGGTGACTCCAGGCTATGTCAAGTTGGCAATTAAAGCCAATTAGGATTCCTGTTCCCATGTTTCCTTAATGTTCTTTAATCTGCATCAGTCCTCCAGCCTTTCTTTACATTTCATCACCTTGGCATTTTGAAAAGTCCTGTTCATTTACCACAAGCCTCATTGTTAAGTCTGCCTTGACAAGATCTTACTGTCATTGCATTGGTATGATCTGGCAGCATTTCTTTTTTTACACAAGGTTGCAGTGTGGTATGTACCCTAAGATGGCTTTAAATTCTCGTTCTTCTGCTTCCCAAACACTGTGGTTAAAATGTATGTCCATGCCCAGCTGTTACTGTTTTCAAAAGCACTGTGTTTCCAGCCATACATGGAAGAACATGCCTATAACTTTACAGCCTTTAGTGCTAGCATTCAGGAGGCCAAGGTAGGAGAATGGAGTGTTCAGGGCCAGCCTAGGCCAGTCTATACCAATTAACCAAGCGAGCGAGCGAGCAAGCAAGCAAGCAAGCAAGCAAGTAAAGTACAAATAAAAGCACTATAGTGTCTGAAGAGATATCTCAGTGGTTAAGGACACTTTATGCTCTTCCAGAGGACTCAAGTTCAATTCCCAGCACCCCCCAAGACAACCCAAGAACCTCTTTTGGCTTCCGAGGGCACCAGGCAAGCATGCGGTACACAGATATACATAAAGGCAGACATTTATACACAACAAATAAAAGCGCTATATTTCTAAGTGGTGCTTTGTGATAGACTAAGTTTAAGAGACCTTATCATACAACACATAACAGTAGACTTGGAAAAGGGAAGTACCCTCACCACCCACATACAACAGCAATGCTCACGACATATGTGAGATTACACATTAGCCAGCTTGAGTCAGCCATTCCGTGGTGTAGGCATGTTACAAAATGTCATGTTGTGTATAATAAATACAAGCAGCTTTTACATGTCGATTTAGAGTTCAAAGTGAGCTAGTCCTTCGTGATAGTCAACAAGTTCGTGGAGTTTCGCCTCCCAGCCGTACTCAGGGCTCACCTCTGTGGTGTCCTTCTGGAGCATGCCACTGAGGCCTGCTTCTGCTTGACTTGGGAGCAGCCACTGGCCCACCTTTTTTTCCTCTGGTTAATATTTGGGCCCCGGCAGCCCACAACTATGTCTTGCTCTTGTCCCAGCTCTGCTTTGCTCACAATGTCTTGGCCTCCACATACTTTATTCTCTCCCATTTCCCGTCAGAAGCATGTGTCTATTTTAGAGACAAACAGATGCCATTTGGTCTTAAAATGAAAGGTTAAGCATATCCTAATATAATTTGTCTTTTTTTTTTTTTTTTTTACAAGTGGTTTTGACATGTTTAACATTTTGAATATCGTTTTAGGTAATAATAAAGTATATCTTGTGAAATATTATTCTTATTGTAGACAATAATCACACAGCTTATTACACTATTCCAGGCAAGATCTGCCTCTGGCTTAGATGCAGGAATCCCGGGAGGAGTGGCTACTGTCTACAGACTTTTGCATTGCAGGAGGGACAAGGGCATGAAACAAGAGAAATGATCTTGTAGGTGGCTGGAGTAGTTTTCAGGATTGGGGAAAGATTGCCTTTGACAAGATTAAGGCTTTACCGTGTTAAATGCTGGGCAAATACTTAACATTTGAATGGGTAGATCAAATGTAGGTATACGAGGACCCGAATCTCTGAACTCACCCCAGATCCATGGAATCGTTCCTGACTTCCGGTGTACAGTCTATGAATGAATGAATGAAAGAGTTAATTTTTTTATTCACCTCAGATATTACAGCAGATGCCAATCAACTTGAGCTTCAGAAAGGAGTGTGTTTGCCCCTCTGGTTTCCACCTACTCCTTGTCTGAGGGGAGCATTGGCTGGGCAAATAGAACCGAAAGGGGGGGAAGTTTCTCACATATGCAACGGGGAGTCAGCTGGCATTAAAACTGTCTTCTGTGTCTCCTCAGATGCATGTGACATCACATTTGACCCAGACACAGTGCACAGGTACCTTCGCCTGCAGGAGGACAACCGCAAGGTCACCAACACCACGCCCTGGGAGCACCCCTACCCGGACCTCCCTGGCAGGTTTCTGCACTGGCGGCAGGTGCTGTCCCAACAGAGCCTGTACCTGCACAGGTACTATTTTGAGGTGGAGATCTCTGGAGGAGGCACCTATGTTGGCCTGACCTGCAAAGGCATTGACCGGAAGGGAGAGGAACGAAACAGCTGCATTTCTGGAAACAGCTTCTCCTGGAGCCTTCATTGGAACGGGAAGGAGTTCACAGCCTGGCACAGCGACACAGAGACCCCGCTCAAGGCTGGCCCTTTCCGGAGGCTCGGGATCTACGTAAGCTTCCCAGGAGGAGCCCTTTCCTTTTATGGGGTAGAGTATGACGCTATGACTCTGATTCACAAGTTTGACTGCAAGTTCTCAGAGCCCGTCTATGCCGCCTTCTGGCTGTCTAAGAAAGAAAACGCCATCCGGATTGTGGATCTGGGAGAGGAGCCGGAGAAGCCAGCTGGGTCCTCAGCAGAGGCTGCTCCCTAGATTTTAGGACCTGCCTCCTTGACTCTGCTAACTGACACAACTGGGCAGCAGCTGGCATTTTAAGGTGGACAGAAATATCTGTTGATGGTAGTTGGCTTCAGAAATTGCATGGAGCCTGAACAAACTTTCCTGCCCGCTTCTCAGCACGGCTCTTGCATGAATGCAGAACCTCTAAGGCACCAAAGCCTCTCCCCAGATCTCCTAGTGATGGCCTCTTGTCTGCTCAGACGATTATCATCACCCTTCACCCAGAATTTATGACCAGGGCCCGTCAGAGCATGACACAGGGGTCATAAGAAAGGACAAACACATCACCATGAGTGTCTTATGCACCGGCCAGTGTGTGGCGTACGTTCTCTGGGTTAGTTCACGCCATCTTCACAGAGTAAATGTCTACGTTGTCCTCACGTTACGCATTAAGGGACGGTGGCCAGGGTAGCTGGCTAACTTGTCACTTAGGGAATGCGGGGCAGAGCTGGGATTCAGGGCTAGGTAGACTGTTGGTGAACTGTGACTATGCGTTCTGCTTACCTCATTGTGTCATGAATGTTATGCGTAAGGAGTAAACCACAGGCCGAACCACACAGCCGACAGTGTCTTCAGCATCCCTCTTCGAGGTGCTCATCTTCCAGGGTGTGCCAGGCCAAACCTGGTCATCCAGCCTTGCACCGTGAGAGCCCTCATCCCTCACACAGCAGCCGTCTTGAACAGTGGGGTGTAGAGTGACCGTTTTAGGGAGGCCCTTTAGGGAGGAGTATCCGTCCTCTCTTCTAAAGATACCAGACTCCACGGACGTGTATGTCTTCTCGTGCAAAGGGATAGTTCTTCAAGTGTTTGGGGGACAGTGCTCACCTCTCCTCGGAGCTACACCCGTGTTTGTGCTAAGTTGATACTTTCAGCCATGACTTCCATTTTCCCCCGACACCCCAGTGATTACTTCATTCTTCTTTAAACAAATGAGAAGCGTCCATCAAGCCTTTATGCACACCACCTTAAAATGGATTGCTATTGACTAGCCTGACATCCCAGGTGGGATTTACCAGAAATATTACTTCCGTGTCTTTTCCTGTGACCCGTGCCAAGGCAACTCTTCCCGCTTAACCAGCCTGGGGATCCTGTCTCAACAGCGTATCACTTTAGAGTTACTTGCCTTGACTCTAAGCCTCTGCACCTTTGTGTCTAAGGACATGGGCAGTGTGGCACTTAAATGCTTTTACTTCCCTTCCTCATATCACTGCTGTGCACTGAGATACTTTCGTGATCGTTCATCTAGTACAGTACCTCTCTTTATAGCAGAAAGAGATTCCTTGCAGAATCAATGGCCTTCTCTCAGGTCAGAACCTCACTGGTAGATATACTGACTATGACCAGGCCAAAGGTACACACTGCACACTAGCTACTCGCTGGAGAACTATTCAGTGGCGGGGTTCCCTGTTCGCCTCTTTGCCTCCCTCTCCCACCAAACACAATCAAAGACCTTTTCTGTTCTTATCGTCTTTTCTTTTCATTTGAGACAGGGCCTCACTATGTAGCCTAAGCTGGCTCGGAATGCACAATGCATCCTTGGCTGGCCTTAGATTCACAGTCTTCTCTTCTTAGCCTTCCAAGTGTTCAGGTGAGAAGTATGAGTTACCAGTGCAGTGCTCGGCTCAGTGAAGGATCTTTTCAGTAACAGAAATCAACGTCTGAATTTCTCAGGCCTAGCTGTTGAAGGATACTCTTCAGAAGAGAAAAATCATATCATCTTGGCTTGCCCTTCTTTTTTTTTTTTTGAATTTTACTTTTAATTGACATACAATAATTGTGTATACTTATGGAATTCAGCATAGTTTTTCAATACATGAATGTAGCATATAATAACCAAACAAGAGCAATTAACATTTCTATCATCCAAATATTTATTTGTTGTAAGAACAAATCCTGTCTTCCAACTGTTTTGAAATAAACCTGCCTGTTTTTTATAATTGTTGCTGGTAGTTGCCATTTTAATCACCATAGACTATTTGATGAATCATTTTAGAATTCTGCTTTAGATTAAGGTCAAATTTGTGAGTCTGTTGTTTCCAGAAGATTTTTTTTTTTTTTTGAGACAGGGGACTTATAAACACTGAGAATCCAGGTGCTTGCCACCTTGTCCGGTTTCTTTGGTGCTAGGGAGTGAACCTGGGGTTTCATGCATCCTATGAGCATGAAAGCACTTATCAGACATCCCCAGCCCTCTGTATTTAAGAAATTACATTTATTTGTTGTGTGTGTGTGTGTGTGTGTGTGTGAGAGAGAGAGAGAGAGAGAGAGAGAGAGAGAGAGAGAGAGACAGAGATAGACAGAGCATCACGGTACACGGTACACATATGGCCATTAGAGGACAATGTGTAAGCCCTTCTTTCCTTCTCTTCCTCTCTCCCTCCTTTCCTCCCTCCCTCCCTCCCTCCCTCCCTCTCTCCTTTCTTCCTTCCATTTCTGAGACAGGTTTTTTTTTTTTTTTGTTAGCCTGGGCTGACTTGAACTTATGACCTTCTCACCACAGAGCCAGGGATTAAGCTGTGTATCACCAAGCTTGACTGTTCTTAAGAAAAAAAAAAAATCAAAACTCTCCTCATCTCTACCATTCTCTCCAGTTTCTCAAAAGATTCAGTGTCCTGAACTGTAATTTGATTAGGCCCAAGTCTCTAACCTCATATAAAGAGCTGTTTAGCTACCTCTTTACCTGGCTTGAACTTTTATTTTCCTTCCACCTCTTGCCCATTATTTCAGGCTCAAGATTCCTTCTGATATAATATATCAAAGCAAAATTAAGAGTCTCACCTGTTTGTTTGCTTTCTGTCATTGCCTCAGGTGATGGAGATATCACTTTTCACTTTCTTTGAAAACTAAAAATGAGCTATAACAAACAAAAATGAAGGAAAGGAAAAAAAGAGAGAGCAAGCAAAAGACCATTTTTGTATTTGTAACAAGCTGTGGACTCTCCACAAACTTGTGGAAGTGTGTGACAATTGTTTGTTTTTTACTGTTCTCTGTCCCCTCATTGTGTGGACTTACCTAAAATAAAACAAAACAAAATGAAAGCAAAGCAAACAGGACCACAGCAGGGACTCACTTTGCTGCAGTTAGATGTAATTTTAGCCACTGCCTGTCTTAGTCTTATATTCTTAAAAACATTTTGTTATGCTTAGTCTTTAGTGTGTGTGTGTGGGGGGGGGGCAGAGAGAGAGAAAAACACAGGTCATGTGGTATGCATACAGAAGAAGGAGGACAACTAACTAACTTGTGGGAGTTGTTTCTCTCCTTCTGCCATGTTGGCTCCAGGAGAGAACTCAGGTCAGTATTAGGATTGTCAGCAAATGCTTCAACCCACTGGGCTATCGCCAGCCTTAATTTATTTGTATCTTAGCCTTGTGAAATAAAAAAATCTGCTTTGGTGTTATTTTCCAGGAGTCTTATGTATTCTGAGCCAATCTGCCAGGGTTGGTGACGAATGAGGAGACACCAACATTCTTCTCTCTTTGTCCCAGTCAGTGTTGCGTTGCTATAGCAGAGCATGCAAGGCTAATCAGGCTGTAAGGAAAATGAGTGTGTCATTCATATTTCTGGAAGGGGGGGGTCCAAAGCCAAGGGCCTCACATCTGCATCATCTTTGGACAGAAGGAGAAAGGCAAAGAGACTGACTGACCTTGCAGCCTTAAACACTTTTAAAGCTAGCACTAATGTGCCCATGCCAACAGAGTCCTCAAGACCCAAACATGCCCCATCAGGCTCCACCACCCCACATCATTGCATTTGGGCATCAAGTTTCCAATGCATGCACTCTAGAGTCGTGTTCAAGCTACGACACTTTTCAACTTGGTTCAGCATATTTTGGTAATGGATGGCTGCAAATCAAAGTGTGGCCTTTATAGTGTACAATAGAAGACAATAGCCACATCTTTTGTTCACAAGGCACTGATTTAAACTGAAGTGAAAGCCATTCATATGCGAAGCATGAAATAGGAATCAACTACTTACGATAACAACAGAATAATCATGGCTGCAGCTAGATGCACGGCTTCTAATTTAACCTTTTTCTTGGCCTCTTCAGTTCTGAGTTCTGACAGTTCTGTGATGTGCTGGTCACTAATTTCCATCTCTCTAGCAATGGCTTTTCCTCAGAGCCTCCGCCACATGAGTCTGCAGACTGGAGACAGGAGAAGTGTGGAGTTTCATGCTTTGGATAGACCTCTTCTGTTTTGGTAGTGATGTCCTCGCGTCTGTGTCCCTCATGTATCTAGGTGTCGGGACAGGTGACTCTTGCAGGGAGGGGTGCTGTGCCATATGCACCTGAAATCCATATGCACAGCACAGTCTATACAGCTTGCAGAGGCTGTTCTATACAGCTTGGCCTGTGTGGACACACTCACTTTTTATTGCTAGTTTTGATTTGCTTGGAAGTTGTGTTCAGAAAGTTCCATGGCCTCCCGGAAAAACCAGACACCGTAAAAAAAAAAACAAAAACAAAAAAAAACGAAACTAGGTTATTTACAAATCCCGAAGGTCGGTAACACAGTGAATTGTCTTGCAATGCTAAAATCCTTTCCCCCAAATCAATAATTTAAGCAGTCGATGACTGTCTTTAAAAAGTCATGTGTATATGCAGGTTCATCCTTGTCTCACAGTAAAATGTCCTGACGGGCTCATGTGCAGAATACTTGTCCCCAGCTGGTGCTGCTCCCTTGGGAGGTGGTGGCAACTTTAGGAGGAGGGGGTCTAACCAGAGGAATAGTCATGGGGTATCTCCGTGAAAGGTATACCTGTCTGTCTTAGTCACTTTTCTATTGCGATAACACACCATGACCATCCTTACTAAAGAAAAAGCTTAATTTGGCTTATGTTCCAGAGGGTTAGAGATTATGGTGAAGAGTCACAGCAGCGAAAGCTCACACATCCACAAGCAGGAGGAAGAACAGAGCACACTGGGAACAGTCCCAGGCTTTTGAAACCTCAAAGCCTGCCCCCACAGTGACACACCTCTTCCAACAAGGCCAAACCTCCTCCAACAAGGCCACACCTCCTAATCCTTACCACATAGTTCCAGCAACTGGGAACCAAGTATTCAACTATATGAGCCTCTGGGTTCATTCTCATTTAAACCACCACTCTATCCACGGCCCCTTCCTCTCTCTCTGACTACAGCCTACCAGGAGGAAAACAGTCTCCCGCTCACGATCTTTCACCATGGTGTTCTTCTTCGTGGTGGCCCCAGGAACAATGGAGCCAGCTGACCTGGAAATAAAGCCTCTGGTGCCATGAACTACAACAGCCTTCCTCCATTTAGCCATTTCTCTCTGATATTTGGTCACAGGAATGAAGAAGTTGAACAAAGTCTCAGATATCAAATAAAAGTTTTCCAGGTGTGGTGGCACTCAGGAGCACTCAGGAGGCAGAGGCAGGTGGATCTCTGTGAGTTCAAGGCCAGGCTGGTCTACATAGCCAATTCCAGGCCAGTCAGAGCTACATCGTGAGACTCTGAAAAACTTTTTTTCCCCAAAACTTTCACCAAGTAGTCACAGCTAAACTTTAACCCGTTTTAGACCTCAGTGGCCTTTAGCAACAGGATCTCACTCTACTCTTTTCAAGTAGGACTCTGTTCTCAAGAAGTTTACATAAAGCCAGTGGTGGTACACACCTTTAATATCAGCACTCAGAGGTAGAGGCAGGTGGATATCTGAGTTTGGGACCAGCCTGGTCTACAGAGTGAGTTCCAGGATAGGCTATACGGGGAAACCCTGTCTCAAAAAACAAAAGACAAACAAAGAAGTTTATAGAAAGCCCTTACCATCCCTTCTTCAGAGCTGTCTGGCTGTTCCCTCTTCTCCTCCATCCCCCATTCCATTAAAAGTGTAAGTTTGATGTGAAGTTTGATTTTCCATCAGGACGACCTGGATCCTGAAACACCAACCTCGTGCTGGAAATGTGGGTAGGGTCTGGGTGCTTCGGATGAAGTAGGATACTATCTCCAGAAGCTAGGGAATGTACTGGATTCCCCGCAAGAGGACAAATCTTTCAACAGCCGATTAGGTCCACAGAACAGGTCATACGGAGCAGAGCAATAATGCTCTGAACACCCAGACACCCACGACCGAACGCCTCATGACCTCTAGCCCCTCCTCAAGCACAAGTAGGAACTGTTTTAAAGTCAGTCAGCCAGGCACTTGGAGGCTCTTCCTCCCCCCCCATCTGTCTTCAAATACACCTTTGATGAGGTTCCGATGAGGTCTTCAGGTACCCCTCACCTCCCCCGCAATAATCAGCTTGGTTTGAAAAGTAATGCCAGGCAGAAAGGAGTTCAGCATTTTTTTTTTCCTGTGCTATTTTAAAATACTTTTCTCATTTCTTCTCTCACCCAAATCCTGCCAGTCTTGAGATACAGATACTGATTTTTCACAGACAGAAGGTGAAATGTCTCAAAGATCAGAGAGGCTAAATTACGTGACCCAGGCTATTCACCAAGAAATCATGATGCAGTTAAGCAATGCGAGCTTCCGTCTAAACTGGAGGGTCTTTTGCTGTTTCTTGATCTAAGTCAGTCTCACAGATTAGAATCCTAATTTAGTCAAACCTTTAGGTGCTTTCAGCTCTGGCACATGTGTGGGTAATCTGCCTGCTCCTGTGTCTTCAGAAAGCGTGCTTTGGGCCTCCTGCTTCCTGGCTGTCTCCTTTGCCAGGAGTGAGACCTCAGTGTCTTCTGCCTGCTCTCGGGTGCTCTCTACTCAGAAGAGGGAAAGCTCTCAGAACTAACCTCATTTGTTCCCAATCCTGGCCCCACCACATAACCACAAATGCAAACAATTCCAGGTAATAGTTTCTGCTGCTTTCCTCCGACTGTTCTGGCCTTCAGAAGGGCACTGGAAAGCCATATAGTAATGAACATAATAGCAGCACCATCAAAGTTGAGCCCAAACAGTTTATCTAAACCTAGGTGTCAACTCTAACACATCTGCTTTCCTCCCTTCAGTCCTCGAACACGGGGAAAGTGTGGCCTGTTAAGAGGAGCTGTGTAGCTTGCTCACGACCACACAGCCAAGACATGAGCCTAGTCTTGCACGAAGGAGGAAAATTATCTCACTGATTGCTGTTCGGTCTTTTCCTGTGATCACTACTCCCCATATTTATTAGTTATTTTAAGAAGTTTCAAATCTCTGAAAAGCTGAAAGGCTGGAAGGGTCTTGATGCACCCTTCATTCACACCTACTAATTTTTAGAACTTGGTTACACTGCTGTTGAATAGTTTACACGGCGAAGGGAGACCCTTGTCTCCTTCTAGGATGTAAGGGGGAGCAGAAGTCTCCTTATGTGCACATGTTTGGCTCTGATGGTCCAAGTCCTTACCTCTGGGAGTATCATGAGTCAGGGCTGAAGGGAAAAGATCTCAGATAGCAGGCAAGACACACAGTTCACGCTGCTTTTCTTTTAAAAAGCTGCACACACTGGGGATACACAGAGTCTGAACCACCAACCAGAGAGCATGCCTGGGCTGGACCTAGACCGCCTACACAAAGGTAGCAGACAGTTAGCTTAGTCAACATGCGGGTCCCCTGACAATGGGAGTAGGGGCTCTCTGACTCTGTTACCTGCCGTTGGATCCCTCCCCCCTAGCTGGGCTGCCTTGTCTGGCCCCAGTGGGAGAGATGCGCTTAGCTCTGCTGTGACTTGAGGTGCCAGGGCGGGATGGTAACCCTTGGGGGCCTCCCCTTTCTGAGAAGAAGGAGAGGGAGTGTGGTGGAGGGGGTGTGACAGTGGGACTAGGAGGAGAGGAGGGGGGCTGGGATCAGGCTGTAACGTGATTAAACAAGTAAATAATAAAAACGTTTTAAAAAGCCGAACACTCGGATACATGCGCGCGCGCGCGCGCACACACACACACACACACACACACACACACACACACGCTATTTCATTGTGTGCATTTGAGTGTTGTATATACACACAGACATATAAACATTGTAGTGTCGCCTCAGATAATCCCAATAACAATGCAGCAGCTCCTGCTCACGGGAAGTTTTGCTCCAAGGTTTCAATTACTCACCAAGGCCAGTCTGCATCATTGTTAATGTCACCACAAGAAAGGTGAGCCTGCACTCTCAGCAGCTGGAAGGCAAAAGGAACATGCTTTCGAGGCTAGATTGGCCTACATGGCAAAGCCCTATCTTCAAAACAATATTTTTTTTTTAAAGGAAAGAAGCACAGTCCTATAAAATGGCAGTATTTTGTGTGAGAGGTCACGTTCACATACTTTATCACGTGTTACGGTAAATTATTCTAGTTCCTGCTTGGTCGCTGAGCTAACCAATTTTATGTCAACTTGGCACAAGCTAAAGGCATATGGGAAGAGGGATCCCAACTAAGAAAATGCTCCCAATAGATTGGCCTATACTGGGGGCATTTTCCTGATTAATGATTTCTACGGGAGGACCCAGCTCCCTGTGGGAGGGGTCACCACCGGGCAGGCAGTCCTGTGTTCTGTAACAAGGAGGATGAGTTGGGTGGTGGTGGCAGACAAGCACTTGGGAGGCAGAGGCAGGCCTCTGAGTTTGAAATCAGCCTGGTCTACAGAGAGAGTTCCAGGACACCCAGAACTACACAGGGGAACCCTGTCTCAGAAAGCAAAAGCAAAAGCAAAAGCAAAAGCAAAAGCAAAAGCAAAAGCAAAAGCAAAAGCAAAAAAAAACCAAAAAACAAAAAAAAAAAAAAAAAAAAAAAAAAAAAAAAAAAAAAAAAAAAAAAACAGAAAGAAAGCAGGCAGAGCAAGCTACAAGGAGCAAGCCAGTAAACAGTGTTTCTGCATCCATTCCTGTCTCTAGGTTTCTGCCCCAACTTCCTTTAAACTGTGACTTGGAAGTGTAAGCAAAATAAACCCTTTCCTCCCCAAGTTGCTTTTGGTTATGGTGTTTTTAGCACAATAGAAACCCTCAGACAGTTATCATTGAACTTGTCTTAGCCTTATTTATTACTTAAATATGGCATGTGTGCATAGGAAAACACATGATTTAGGGGTTGATATTACCTTGTGCTTTTTGCCATTTCCTGGGCTCTTGGATGTATCTCGGTGAATAAACGGAGCCTCCTTCAGTGCTGACAACAGCACGGCAGTGTGTCGCGAGGGTGAAGGGTGCCGCAAGTGCCAGGCAGTCTTTGAGTGTTATGCAGACAGCATCTCACTGAATTCTCACCTCTCCTAAGGATGTGTTTACAGTAGCACACTCAGTTCTCACAGCTTCTAAGTGCTGCCTGAGCGGTCTCGCCGCACCTCTGTGAAGCAGAACCCATCACTTTCAGATGAAGAAACGGAAGAGGATTAGACAACCCACTGGTGTTCCCTTAGCAAGGAGCAGCTGTGCCCGGACTTGGAAGCCAGGCCTCAGAGTGAGTATAATAGGCAGAGCCTTGGAGCAGCCCCTGGCTCACAGCTACAAAGGAAGGTTACAACTACATTTATACTCACGAATATTTAAAAGTCCATAAAGACGACGACAACAAAGATGCGGGCATTTTTAAAGAAAGGAACCATGTGTATTTTACATTTGGTTAACAGCACAGCTGCTACACAAATGAGATGACCAGCTCTTCCAGAATATACAGCAACTGTCTCTACTTTTGCAGCTCCAGGTTTAGAAGATTTACGGTAAAGCTATGTTTCCAAGGAAGTCAGGACCAGAAAGCCTGACTTCTGCAGGCAGTTTTGGGTCATCGCTTTCCATCCATTGCAGTGGCTTCCGTTTTCTCCAATGGTTATCACGAAAAGACTCCAAAAAGGCTGTTTCTCTGCTTACCCTGTCCCTCTGGTGTTCGGTGGTATTGCTGGCAGGCAAGGTTAAAATGAACTGGTCACCTCAGAGCCATGGAAAACATGGAGCCAGGGCTTAGTCAGGCCCCCTATTTTCGCTGCGAAAGGGGACTGGACTGGGTCCCTGTGTGCCAGAAGTGTGAAACCTGTGTCTTAGCGTGGAAGATCTTTGCCACCAAAGAGTGGTTCCAGAGGGTCAGTGACACATTGCAGAGGAGGTTTCTAGTCAGCGTCCTGGGGCAGTTCAACAGCCTGTTCCTGTTACACTACTTCCAGAGACTCCTCCAGCCCACCCAGGGGAAGGACTTCGTCTCTAACAGGTCCCGGATCAAGATCGGCAGGCGGGAGGGGAAGAAGGAGCGGGTGGTGAAGTCCTCCCTGAACCAGGTGTTGGATAGAACGGCGGCGGAGCAGAAGATGAAGGACATCCTGGTCTGGTTCAGCAACAGCACCCCCCGGACCAAGGCAAATTACACTCTCCTGCTGCTGCAGATGTGCGACTCAAAGCTACTGCTCACTGCCGCTGATGTGGTCAGGGTCCTGTTCATAAAGGAGTGGAACAATATCTCAGGTGAGAGCCGAGGCCCCAGGGACCCCAACACAGCTGTGTAAGGGAGGGGAGCAGACGGGCTTGGGAGGGTAGGAGGAGGTCTGCCCAGGGTTCCGGTACGGGTCTGTGAACCTGGCCCAGCGGCTGGTCTGAGGTGGTGTCAAGCTGTCTCCTTCTGGCTATGCAGACATCGCTGGACCTTGCTGGGAACCTTCTCCGTCCTTGGTATCGACAAGGAAGTCTTGGAAGCGTTTGTGTGGTTGGTTCTGGGAAGCAAAGGAAACCAGGAGAGAGACAGAGACCAGACTTGTGATGAGGAGGGGTCAGGAGGTGTACAAGAGAAGGCTTAGCCAGTGATGGGAGAACAGTGGGAGCGGTGGTCTCTTGGGAGAGTTTTGGCGTTTGAGCTCTTGAAGGAGGGTAATTCCTGTCCCCAAAGGCTATTTGAGGAATGGTCATACTTATGGACTAATGGACCCCTCCCCCACCCTTACATTCAGGATCTGCTTTTCTAGGCTGGCCTAGAAACCTGAGATCTTTCTTCCTCAGTCTCCCAAGTGCTGGGATTCCACGCATGCACTCTACACCACTTGGAAGGAATTTCAAAGCTAGATGACCTAGGGTGCAATTAGATCCTTATGTAAGAAATAAACTGGTTTTTAATTTTTTTTTAAGAAAGTTGTTTCTTTAGTCGCACCATGTAAATGTCTGGTACCCGAGGAGTCCAAAAGAGGGAGCCAGATCCCCTAGAACTGGAGTTACAAACGGTTCTGGGCTGCCACGCGGGTGTGAGGAATCAACCCTGTGTCCTCTGCAAGAGCAACCAACTCTGTGAGCAACTTGAGCCATCTGTCCAGCCCTCTCTCTGTGTCTTTGGCGTCAAGACTATGATAATAAAGGGTGAGACGGCTGTGAACAAGCTGTGAAGAATCCAAGGGCGTTAAAACCTAGGGGTGCGGCTCCCTAAGTTTATAACAAAGAAACCAAAATCTGGGGAACCCGAGCCCTGGGGCTTGGTCATCCAGCAGGGCAGCAGAGAGAAAGCATCTGCCCCCAGTGGCCTCCACTGCGCTGTGCGCTACTGGGCAACGCACGGGCCACGCTCACAGCTCGGCTTCTATGGCTCCACACCAGCTGTAGGAATTGGCGGTTTATCCTGGGGGTTGTCTAAGCCCAGTTCCAGAGTGCATTAAGGTTCTCTGTAGGAGAGCATCTCTCTGGAAACGTTAAAAGTTTTGGGGCTGGAGGGACAGTTGAGCAGTGAAGGCAAGGTTCTGCTTTGCAGATGGCCCACACTGGGCAGGTCACAACCCCCAGCTCCAGGTGCCCGATGCCCTCTTTTGAACTCCCAAGGGCACAAGCATGCAAGTGTACACATCTCCTCACCGACACATTATTAAAAATAATAAAAATAAATAGGTTTTTAGAGTTAAGATTTCTAATCTGGATACGAGGGCAGTTCTACAGTGAAGGAAGTCAGCAAGAGCTTCGGAGAGAGGCCCTTCCTGCAGCTCCTTCCATGGCCGCACCACCGTCTCCTTAGGCACAGAGGGATGACAAGATTTGCAGCATAGATTTGCTGGCAGAGCCTCAGTGGAGGCTTTCTGAGATTTTCACCAGGACACTTGGAGGCCTTGAATAAAAACAGCAAGCCTCTCATGTCTTTTGTATGTATGTACCTCTGTGTGTGTGTATGGGGGGGGGCATGTGAGGCATTGATTCCAAGACCTCAAGATCCATAGATGCTCAAGTTCTCTTTACTATAAAATAATCTAATAGTTGCACAGAACCTATGCGACCCTTCCAGATATGTTAAATGGCCCCTGGTTCATTTATAAAACCAACTGCAGGCCCAACGCTGCGGCAGCCGCTATGTTGTCCTCTCCAGAGACCAGTGACAAAAACTCTGTGTTTGTCTGTTGCAGATGTGGGTTTCTTATTTTTATTTTCGATTTGACCTGAGACATGCAGGAAACTGACTATACTTAAACAAAGTGAGGAAAGATCAGACCTTCTCTCTCTGCTCCATTTTCCTCTGCATATCTACTTCAAGAGCAAACTTGTCTGTTTTTTTTGTTCTTCAGGCCTTTACCAAGGCTCCTCTGACATAATGTTTTTCCCTGAGAAAAGCTACAACTCTACATTCGACACCTCGTATGTCTACTGGGAAGCCAGACCGAAACCCATGTCATTCCCGATGTCCAAACTTTCATCCAATAAAATAGGGGCTGAAAGTGCGCACAAGGAAAAATTTGCTGCTGGTAAGTCAGGCTCTTTTAAGAAATCCGACATTGCGTCAGATGAGTTCATGGTTCACCCTATGGCTTTTTTTTTTTTTTTTTTTTGGTGGGTCTTTTGTGACTTGATGGCATCCTATGTCGATAGTCTGACTTAAGTTTTCTTCTTTTACCTTTTAATGGTGATCGGGTAGTAAATGCATTTTGCTGTTGCTTTTTTTGAGTCAGTCTTAATATCTGTCCCAGATGGCCTTGAACTCACAATGCTCCTTGACTCACCCTCCTGTCACAGTCAAAACATTAGTTTTACTTACGATGACTTTTTCAGGACGTGACTTCGTGTGAAGTCAAAGAGCTCCTGTAGATGAAGTTGGGAAATCTCAGTGGGGTTGGAGGCCCTGGCAAGGCCAGAGTCACCGGGGATGTCAAATGTCAGAAACTAACCTTCACTCAGCATTACGCGTTGAGCTCTTGGGTTCTCCCTCCCTCCTGCCCCTCCCCCCCCCACCCCATTTAACTCTCAAAGCTGTTAAGGGGAGAAGGAGAAAAACTTGTCAGTATTAATTACCACATGCTTCCATCTCCATGGTATCAGTAAGAGACTCCTGAAAATGGAGATCAGAAAGGAACCTTCTAGAGTTTTTTCCTCCTTCTATCCTAGGCCAGTGTGCCTGCCTCCTGCCCTCTGAGCTCTGGCATGGTACATAATGGCCCTCTGGAGTTCAGCCCAGTGATGGATTTTTGAAGCACTGGAGCCAGTTTTGTGAGGGAAAGTGGGGAAATATAAGAAAGAAATAAAAATGCAAGGACGTGACTGCTCCTCAGCATTATGGTGGAGGAGAAAGTTTGTCGTGGATATGGGGTAGAGCATAGTCGGACGCAGGGACATCTGGGAGAGTGGACATGACCCTGAGCTGGGCCACATGAGGAGAGAAGGGAGGGCAGAGGACTTGTGGGGAGAGAAGCCCAGCTGGAGACCTGGGCTTCCAGCTATCAGCCTGGGTATGCCAGCTGAGGGATCTGTAACAGGTAGACTGAGGGATGCTGGGAGAATGCGGTGGCCAGAGTCTGCTTTGATACGCTGATGGACGCCTCAGTCAGCCAGTTGTCCCAGGTCTGAGACCTGGCACAGGAGAAAGTGGCTCCCCATCGGAAGACCTTCCCAAGCTGGTCTTCGAAGGAAGGCAGACACATGTCCTCACAGGTCACCTGTCCAGGTCGGCCTGGAATTTGCTATGTTGCCGACTCTGGGTTTTGGCCTGCGGCTCTTGCCTGCGCCTCTCAGGCTGTAGTTCCAGGCGTGCAGCCCCACGCAGCTAGGGATCCGTTCTGTGAAATGCACTGTCCATTGGTTCTGCCATGTGTGACCATCAAAAAGTACTCTTCCGTACACTTGGGACGCACAGCCTCCCTACACCCAGGCTGGGTCACACGCGCTGTCTGTCATTGTTTGAGACACTGTGTGATCCACGGCAGTCCATGGAATAAGCATGAGAAACACAAAATACCTTTTAAAACGAAAATTCCCAGTTTTAAAGGTATGTAGAATAGCGTGAGAGCCGGTCACGTGACCACCATCTGGCTTCAACAGTGATCAATGTTTGAGCAGTCTCAGTATGTTTGTGACGCTGGTGACTGAACCCAGGGCCTCATACTAGCTAGTAAGTGCTTTGCTATTGAGCTACACCTCTAACTTGGAAATTTTATTTCACTCTCCTTCCCAATTTTTAAATTGTTTCAATTTTTCTCAGTAGGGCATTGTGTGTGTGTGTGTGTGTGTGTAGGTCCTGGATGAGTGCATGTGCAAGCCAGAGGCCAGAGGTTGCCGGCAGGTGTTCTTAACTGATCTCCGTTTGGTTTTTCGAGGCAGGGTCTCTCACTGAACTGGGAGCTCACCTTTTGCTAGGCTGTGAGCCCCAGGGCCCTTCTGTTTCTGCCTCTCCACTGCTCGGATTTCAGGTGTGTACCACTGCACCTGGCTTTTAAGCTGGTGCTCAGGATCAAAACCCAGGTCCTTGTGTTTGCACGGCAAGCACCTTATGGACTGAGCTCTCTCCCTGGCCCTCAGTGGAGCAGCTGACAAGAAATTCAGGCTAAGACGCCATGTCAGTCTCTGAACACGCTCAGCTGAAAAGCACCTGCCTGTTTGGATCAGGAGGTTCTGCTGCAGGCGGGATGGAGGTTGATTAGGATATTCGGTGGCCTAGGGGTAAGCATGGAGTTTTATTCGGGGGCAAGCTTTGCGGTGGATTTGTTTGGGGACTAGCCTTACGACAGATCCGACTCAACCGTCTACCTTTCTCCGTCTCTGCTCCAGCGCAAAAACACAGCAGCTCCTTCCAGTTTATCTCCGAAATGAATAAATACCTGTTTGGAAAAGAGGGCATTTACAAGCTGGCAGAAGACCCGGGCGACCTGCTGCTCAGCCTGGAACAGATCAATGTCCTGTCTTCTGGGTTCAGCAGACATCGGGACTTCATTCGCTACCTGCCTCTCCACCTCTCCAAGTACATTCTAAGTATGCTGGGCAGGGGAGGGGATTCCTCGGACACTTCCCAGCCGGGCCTGGCCCCGGGGGTTTCTGGGTCCATCTTCTTTCTTTTTCTCCCAGGGATGCTGGATAAGAACAGTCTGAACAGGTGCGCCTTTGTGAGCCAGCACTGGGCTGCTCTGACCCAGCAGGTGAAGCAGGACCTGGCCATGAACTCCTTCATTCAGAACCAGATTTCTGTTCTGCAGGTACTTTGGGGCTGAAAGGGGTGTGTCCGGAGACCGGCTCTGTTTCCACACCAAGGCCGGACCTTTGTGTCTCCTTGGTAGCCTCCAAACAGAGCTCCCCACCCATAAGCTGGAGCGCTCGTGCGGCGCAGACCAAGCTCTGGCCACTTAGCCTGTGCAGCGCTGTCTATTAACTAGCGAACGCAGCGCACACAGCAGCCAGAACGCGGCCCTCTGCATTTTCAAGACTGTCGCCTGCTGTGAGCCTCACTGTGATTCCACCGTAGACAGCTCTGGAACCGCGGGACTCCAGGCCCAACCCAATTTAGAGGGGCAGGAAAATCTCCCTCCCGCAAAGGCGAGGGGACCCAGCCTCCAGGCAGCTGATCCTCCGAGCCAGCTCCGAGCTGTGCGCGCTCACGCTTGCAAGGCCTTCGCCCAGCTGGTTTAGGTCCGTAGGAAGTGTGCCCCGACGGGGGGCACCTCTGCCTTTGCTTCTCACCTGAGACCGGGACGCATTTGGCCTTCCCTATCCTCGCTTTGTCCAACACAATCCTGATGTAACTGAGCAGGTCTGGGCCTTCAGCGCTCAAGCACTGTCCACCGTATGGGCGCGCGCGCGCGCGTGCTCGAACTCGTGTGCTCACGTGCTTTAATGGATCCCTGCTTTGGTTCTGTAGCTGCTGTGGATAGCGCGCAGACGCCCCAGTGTGGCCTGTCTTCCTTTGCCCGCACAGGGGTCCTACATGAGGGGGATAGATCCCACCTACGCCAACAAAGTCTCTGTCCCCGTTCCCACGATATCGGACGACGAGAAGCGCATGCGGTCCAAGAATCAGAAGTGGAAACTGAGGGCAAAGGTGGGTGCCGGCGACGCGCCGGCTCAGCGGCTCAGAGCCTCACACTCCTATCGGCCACCGAGGGTGCGCACCCCGCGGGAGGACGTAGGCGCTGGGGAGGCACCAGGCCGGGAGAGACCACTGCGAGCCGGGGGGAGGAGCTCCGTGCCGGGGGTGGGGGTGGGGGAGGCTCCGTGCCCTGGAGCGCTCCTCCGCAGGAGACACAAAGGGAAGAGGCTCGGAGCTTTGCACGTTTACTGTCCAGACGTTGTAGTTGCCCCTAAGACGATTCCATTTCTACCCCTCCCTCTGGGTTGAGGTCCGTTCAGTTGGCACCAAGAGGATATTTAACGAGGAGTGGTTTGATTTGGGTTCCCGTAGGGAGCCTGTGGAGCAGAGATGACTTATGTCGTGTGTGCGCGCGTGTGCGAGTGCGTGTTCAAGTGTGCGTATGCGCACGTGTGTGCAGGCAGAGAACACAGAGGAGGGAGCAGGTAAAGGCCTGTAAAGGATGGTGAGACTGATGAACTCAGAGCCTGCTGCCCTCCCAAAGGCCTGGTAGCGATCCAGCTCTAGCTGATCCTGCCACCGAGGACTGTGCAGTCTGACCCCCCACCCTCAGACAATCTGAATTTTCAGGAGATGGTAGAAATCTGAGTTAATGGGAAATCTCTTGTACTGCCCGCTGTGGGGGTGGCACACACCTGAAGTCTCAGCTGAGGCAGGAGGATGGCCTACAATACACAGTGAGCCCAAGGGCAGCTTGTGCTGGCTCAGAAACAAAGAGAACCACAAAAGGAACCTCTAGCTTTAAACAACAACAACAGCAACAACAAACAAAACAAAACAACACTGATAGCAGCTATTTAAAAGACTTTTTTTTTTTTTAAACAAACTACGTAAACTAAGAAAAGACATTTGTCAACCTTATTTACCTGCAGGCTCTCATCTCTGAGTTCATCTGCTCATTTTGTCAATAAAGAAACGGAGGCCCAGAAAGAACAAGGGCTTCTGTCCAGTTGAGTGACAGAGGCACATGTTAAACACACACACACACACACACACACACACACATACACACACACACACACACACACAAACACACACACATCTTTTCTGAGTTTGTTCTTCTTTTATGTCTAACAAACTTTGTGGGCCCTGGAGATAAGGCAGAAGAATCTCAGGTTCTTCTGAGGCGAGCCTTTCAGGCATCTCTGTGTGGTTAAAGATTAAGAAGAGTCAACAGAGGGAAGAAGGCATCGGAGGAAGAGCCCAGGACACGGAGGAGAGGGCTGCGTGCAAAAGAGACTTCAAAGGGGGATGTCCCCAGGCCTGTCTGATGTCGTAGGCTGCTCTCATGGCAGCCTCACTCTTTCCCACCAGCCTTGCGGGGCTGCTTTCAGCTTTTGGAGGGCTGGGTTGAGGAATGGAACCTCTGTCATCCGTACCAGAAATTTTCATGCCTGGCAGGCTGGAGCCATTCAGAAATTGCGTGGTGAATGGCTCCAGGGAAGGAAGGAGGTAAGAGGGAATAAAGAGAGGGAAGAAGGAAGGAGAGAAGAGGAGAAGCGAAGGGAAGAAGGGAAGCTGAGAGGCAGAGGGAATCATCGCTGTTGAGAGTTCATAAGGCTTGTTCCCCCTCTCTGAGCCTCACATATGTACCTGTCAGGCGATGAGAGCTCTGTGTGAGCAGGCCGTCTACTTTGTGAGTCAGTTGCAAAGACAGTGACGTTCAAGCGTGTGTGACCTCAAATGCACAGAGCGCAGCATAGTTTCACATGTGGCAGAGCATGCCAGTCATGCCCACAGAACCTGTGTCACGGCCTGAAATGTGCCTGACTCCCCCTCAAGCTCTCCAGACCTTCAGATATGGAATCTCTGGAGGTCAATACTCAGCTGAGTACACGTACGCATGCACGCACGCACGCACGCACGCACACATGCACGTACACATCCACTTTAAGAAGGGAAAAATGGGGCGTTGGGTGGTCAGAGGGATGGTGTTTAAAATATGTGGCTGGGCCACACAAAGACTTCCATCCGTGTGTAAGGTGTGAGGGTGAAAGAGCCTGCTCTGTCGTTGGAGTTAGCATCCCTAATACCAGCATTTCCGATTAAAAAGAGCAAGGAGGTAAAAACGAGTTGCTGAAACAATATCGCCCACACATTTGAAGACAGACAGATGGCCAGTACCCTTTCACCACCTGGGTGCTAACGCTGAAAGTAACGTGTGGAATGGCGCCCATACTGCGATGAGGAGCACGGCACCACGGGCTTTTGCGTCTGTGGGAGCACACACAGGACTGAGGGTCGACATTAAATCTACAAACGGGTCAAAAAGACCTTGGCAAGTGTTCAAAGAAACACTTGAACTGGAGGACCCGAGAGCATGAATGAACTCCACCGGACAGGGAAAGACCGCGCAGGACAGTGCTGCAAGCCTCTCGCAACCTGGAGGACGGTGCAGCAAGACCACAGCATTCAAGTGGAAGGGAAGTAAAGCGGGTGCTCCCGCTTCCCCGAGTCTCAGCTTGGGTTTCCCGTCCTAACAGACTCACCTCTACTCCTGCAGATTTCCTGTATGGTCAGAGAATGGTATAACGGGAGTTTCTGGTTTCTTTGGAAGCTCAGTAATGTTGTGTAAACATGTTTTTGTGTTAATCCCAAGAGTGGGATTGTAGTTGGGCTTTAGCCTGTCCACCGCTGGTAAACTGTCTCTTGCGGGGCGTGGCCTTTGCCAGTTGGTAACGCCCTGCCCTGTGCAGCATGGAGAGAGGCGTGGTCTAGGGCTCTCAGGACCTAAATATGAGAGCCCAGAGAGAAAAAGTGTGGCGTGCGCAATGCTGGTGTGCGGCGAGTGGCGGTTTGGAGAGGCCGGAGACCGGGGTGGGCCGGTTTGAAGCAGACAGACAGAGAGAGATGCTTGGGACGCAGCAGCTTGGAGGAGCCTGCTGCCTGTGTTTGCTGTTGATTGGGATAGCCCTAAAAGAACCAATCGACCCCATACAGCCGGGAGAAGTAAAGGGGTCTGTGGACCCTTTCCCCACTAGCCTTCCCTTTCCTACTTAAGGTTGGGGGGGGGGTTGGAAGGGAGAGGCTTTGAGGAACCCCAAATAAAACAGACTTTTAAAACCAGCAACATGGTTGGTGTGTTCTGTGTTACCGGATACCTGGACTGTGAATACACCATCCCCATTTTGTGAGATGGTTGGTCGAGGGCAGCTGTGAGTTGATGTGTGGCCATGCCCACATGAGCTTGCTCGTGAGAGCATGTCTGTGTGAGCATGTTCGTATGAAGTTGCCCATGTGAACCCATTTTCAGCCAAGTTGTACTCCCGGCAACACTTAGAATTCAGCCATGAAAGACCATAGAACCTAAAATTGTGGAAAATTCAGAGGTGAAACATGAATCAGGCCCTTCATCTTAGTGTTTCCTAGTAACTTAAGTGTCTGCTTATAGCCTCTCCCCATGAGCCTCCCCAAATGGTAGCTACGTCCTTGAACGGAAGAGTCCATGGAAGATGGGGATGGGGACAGTGCGTCTAGGATTCTGGGTAAAGTCCGTGATGACTCTGACTCCAACTGTCTCTTCCTTAGAATGATTACAATTTGTACAATGCATACCAGAACCAGGAGACCCAGATGGTTCAGATGGAGGAGAGGAATGTTTTCTGTGGCACCTACAACATCCGCATTCTCTCTGACACGTGAGTACTGGCGGGAGAAGTTAGTGGCCCCTTAGACTTCTCCAGACCTTCACTGACCCTGGAGGCAGTACCCCCTGCCCCCAAGAACCTGTTTGGACAACAAATGTTTAACCTGCACCATTCTCTGTAGCAAGGAACACCTTCATTAGTTTTGGATATTCTGACCAACAAAATTTAGTTCAGGTTACACGCATGATACTTTGGTCCTCTGAAATTTCTCTATTGCCTTATTCCAACTTGAGAACATGATGATTGGGAGGAAAGTCCTATAAATCCCATACAGTGTACGTAGAGAGAAACGCACTCTTGTAACTGAGTCACGGAGGAACAACCACTGCTAAAATTTGTCTTAGGGTTACTTCTGCTGTGATGAAACACCACGAACAGAAGCAATTTGGGGAGGAAAGGGTTTATTTACCTATATATCTTGAACCAGAGTCCATTGAAGGAAGCCAAGGCAGGAACTCAAACTGGGCAGGAGCCTGGAGGCAGGAGCCGATGCAGAGGCCACGGGAGGAGTGCTTCTTACTGGCTTGCTCCTCATGGCTTGCTCAGCCTGCTTTCTTACAGAAACCAGAATCACCAGCCCAGAGGTGTCCCCACCCACACTGGATTGGGCCTTTTCATATCAATCACTAATTAAGGAAAATGCCCTACAGGTTTGCCTACAACCATATCTTATGGAGGCAATTGCAATTGAGCTTCTCTCCTCTTGGATGACTCCAGCTTGTGTCAACTTGACATAAACCAGTGCAATATGGAACTCCAACCTCCAGAATCATGTGTTTAAACACAGCACACACTTGAAAGAAGTGGGGTTATATAATACCGTTTCAGTAACACATTACATCAAAACACTCTGCTATCTACTTTAAATATGGTTATGCCACAGAGGGCCTGTTCTCTTTTTCCCCTTCCTTCCTTCCTTCCTTCCTTCCTTCCTTCCTTCCTTCCTTCCTTCCTTCCT